TCCCCCCCCCCCCCCCCCCTCCATTTTGATTATGAATTATATTTCATCCTTGCTTAAAAAAAAATTGTCCATGAAGAACCATGAACTCTCTTGCTAAATTTATAGATTAATTTTGTTTTTTGTTATTTTATATTGCCAGTTCTGTTGAAGGATCAATTATACGTACATCAAGCAAATTCTTATATTCCTATCTTAAATACATTAATGTGTATTTTCTATATATGCCTTAGTTTTTAGTGCATTGGTTGTATGCATGAGCAGTTGATTATACCAATGTTTTATTTATTACAGTTTATGAAAGTGTTGTTAAGTTAATTAAATACATTAATGTATATATTTTATTATGTATAAATGTGATCTGAGAAATATTTCATGGGACTTAGGGAGGCTGATTCTTTTTTGTAGATTTATTTGAACTTAAGTATACTCAAAAAATTTATTTGGGGATAAGTCCATTTTGATCTCCATTATCCAAAATACCCTAAATAGTTATATTTAGTCAATATTTATTTGAAAAAATTAACAACTCCTAAATTAGGAATTGTATTAGTATTAATAACTCATATCTTGGAAATTGTGCTAGCATTAAAATTATATTTATGTCACCACATATATATATATAAAATAGTAACACGTTTAACAAAAAAATAGTATCAGCAAACAGTAACACACTCAACAAAAAAATAGTAATATTAAATAGTAACATAGTCAACAAAAAAATAATAATATCAAACAGTAACATGTTCAATAAAAGTTTAATCATTGTAATAGAGTGATACCCCCACAACAGAATAAATACTCACATATGGTGTCACCCTATTGCAATGATTAAATTTTTAATTAAGTTTTTTTATTGAGCATGTTACTGTTTGATGTTACTATTTTTTTGTTGAGCGTGTTATNAAGTCCATTTTGATCTCCATTATCCAAAATACCCTAAATAGTTATATTTAGTCAAAATTTATTTGAAAAAATTAACAACTCCTAAATTAGGAATTGTATTAGTATTAATAACTCATATCTTGGAAATTATGCTAGCATTAAAATTATATTTCTGTCACCACACATATATATATTAAATAGTAACACGTTTAACAAAAAAATAGTATCAGCAAACAGTAACACACTCAACAAAAAAATAGTAATATTAAATAGTAACATGGTCAACAAAAAAATAATAATATCAAACAGTAACATGTTCAATAAAAGTTTAATCATTGTAATAGAGTGACACCCCCACAACAGAATAAATATTCACATATGGTGTCACCCTATTGCAATGATTAAATTTTTAATTAAGTTTTTTATTGAGCATGTTACTGTTTGATGTTACTATTTTTTTGTTGAGCGTGTTATTATTTAATATTACTCTACATATATATAATTTTAATGCTAGCATAATTTTCAAGTTAGGAGTTATTATATTTGAAAACACTGAAACTAACAATGATAGACAATTAATATTTATGGTAAGGGTAATTATGGAATACATTTCAAAAAGAATTTGAAATGTTTTAAAATGTGTACTTATTGATAATTATTTGATGAAAAAGATAACTTAATGAAGTATAAGTTTGAAGATAATAATTAAAGTCAAATAAGCTCTATAAAAGNGATGAAAAATATGACTTAATGAAGTATAAGTTTGAAGATAATAATTAAAGTCAAATAAGCTCTATAAAAGGTACTCACAGCCAATTATCATCAACAAAGATCACGACAAACTGATCAAGATGGGATGTGCATGAGATTCATGAATGCCGCTGGGGGATTTGTCAAATCAAATGGCATAATGGTGAACTCAAAATGCACGTATCTTATCATGAACGCCATCTTAGGGATTTTAGCCTCCCTAATCCTCAACTGGTGGTTTCTTGTGCACAGGTCTATCTTGGAGTAGACTCGTGCCCCTCTCAATTTATCAAAAAGATCGTCAATCCTCGGTAGTGGGTACTTACTCTTGATGGTGAACCGATTCAACTGAATGTAGTCAATACAAATTCTAAGGGTCTTGTCCTTCTTTTTAGCAAGTAGTATTGGAGTGCCCCAAGGTGAGGTGCTCGGCCTAATAAAGCCCTTACCAACAATTCTTACAATTGAACCTTGAGTTTTTGCAACTCCATAGGTGTCATCTTATGCGGTGTCATAGAAATAGGGGATGCATCGGGTTGTAGCTCAATGGTAAAGTCTACTTCCCAATGTGGAGCTAATCCCTACAACTCATTTGAGAAAACATCCACATACTCGCACACTACCTGAGATAAACTCAATTCCTGTCTTGCCTCGTTCTGAAGTATAAGGATTGTAAGACAACCCATCAATTGCATGTCCCAACAAGAGTCATACACGGCATGGGGTAGAGCATCATGTTTTTTCCCCCCCTAAAATTTGAAACAAACACCCTTTGGTGTATAAGCGATAACCTTCTTCCAATTACAATCAATAAGAACTCGGTGTGTCGCTAATCAATCCATCCCTAGAATGACATCAAACTCTGATATGTCCATGACTCTAAGGCCCACAGTGAGTAAAATTTCCGAGATCTCTAACTCACTTCCTTGACATATCTGATCAATCAAATCCTAGTTCCTAGGGGAGAACTCACATGCAATGACACTTCCAAGATCTTAACCTCTAAGTCTAAACCTTTCACACAAGATGCATAAATGAATGAATGAGATACACTCAAATCAAATAATACCCTTGCCCATAAGCGAGATAGTATGAATGTACCCTGAATCACCGATTGATCTATCGGATCAATCTAAGCTGTGATGACGTAGACACGCCCCTAGGTCCCTGAAGTCCCGACCTATAAGCCCTGTCCTCAGCCTTGCCCTAAACCCTAGCCCTTCAGGCCTGATTACGGAATCCCCACTCATGAAGTGGTAGGGGCATGTACAGCACCCTAGAACTAGAACTGACTTTTCCAGTCCATGGTGGGGTAGGGAGGAGTGAAAAATATCTATAGATGCCCCAAAATTTGGGGGTCCTTTATTATCCCGTTGATCATCTATTATCCCATAGAAGTATCTGTGAATCTCATATCACCCAAAACCACTTCATTTCATCCCTTTAGTTGGGATTATAACCAAAACGAAAGTCCGGCAACGCCTCCTTTGCACGGAGTTTTAACCGACACCCAACCTGTTACACATTAATTTCATGACCACTCCAAGTACTAGCACCTGAGCCTACTGTTTGCCAAGTACCGATACCTGGGCCTTCTATTTTCCAGGTACTAGTACCTGAGTGACGTGGTAATGGTACCAAGACCTTTCATTTCCCCGATTCCTTCCAACTTCCTGGTACCGATACCTAGGTGACGGGGTACCGGTACCTGAGCTCATCGTTTACTAGGTACCAGTACCTGAGCCAATTGTCCATCGTGGTATTGGTACCTGAACCTACTGGATTTTAGGTACTGGTGCCTATAGATTTAAGTATCGGTACCTAGGTCATCCGACATCGTAGTACTGTTATTTAATCACTTAG